CAAAGATGTTAGCTTTTGTTGCAGAGGTATAAGAAGAAGCACATTTGTGTTGTAGTGTAGATGAAAAAACCCTCTCCAATCAAGCTTTGGGTTCTTATCAATCCTCCCTGGTCCTGAAATAGCACTGAACACTGTTATTCTCCAAGGAACTAACTGGGCACTGTGGAGGGTCCTGGAAGGCCAGGGAGGGAGTCACACACCAGTCAGAGTCCATCGTTTTCTCGCCCCACTCAAAGCCTGGTTGACACTTCATCATTACTGTGAGCTTGTTATCATGTCAGAATCCTCTGGATGGTAAACACGCAAGATGACTGTGTCTTTGTCAGAGAGCTATTGCTGCAATCAAAATTGTCTCTCTCAGAAACAATCATGTGTAATGGTGTAGTGCTCCACAGTGTGATCTATCCATCAGATATAAATGGGCTTTGATGCCATCTGAACAGAGGTACTTTAGCTGTGTGGGCAGAGCCTGCTGTTCCAGACAGAGAAACACAGTCGGGGGCGGGAGACAGGGAGCAGTATGTATCCTTGTTTAGAGGTTTTGTAACTTCACAGAGTGTGACCCACTAGAAGGTGATGGAGACTGTCATCAGCAGTGCACACAAGATCAGGTAAAATAACCTAATTTGGCTGCATTTCATATTCAGTGGGATGAGCTGTAGCTTACGTACTGTGGACATGCACACACACACACACGTACACTACCATTCAAAAGTTTGGGGTCACTTAGAAATGTCCTTGTTTTCAAAAGAAAAGCACTTTTTTTGTCCATTAAAATAACATCAAATTGATCAGAAATACAGTGTAGACATTGTTAATGTTGTAAATGGCTATTGTAGCTGGAAACGGCTGATTTTTAATGGAATATCTACATAGGCGTACAGAGGCCCAATATCAGCAACCATCAGTCCTGTGTTCCAATGGCACGTTGTGTTTGCTAATCCAAGTTTATCATTTTAAAAGGCTAATTGATCATTAGAAAACCCTTTTGCAATTATGTTAGCACAGCTGAAAACTGTTGTGCTGATTAAAGAAGCAATAAAACTGGGCTTCTTGAGACTAGTTGAGTATCTGGAGCATCAGCAATTGTGGGTTCCATTACAGGCTCAAAATGGCCAGAAACAAATAACTTTCTTTTGAAACTCGTCAGTCTATTCTTGTTCTGAGAAATGAAGGCTATTCCATGCGAGAAATTGCCAAGAAACTGAAGAACTCGTACAACGCTGTGTACTACTCCCTTCACAGAACAGCGCAAACTGGCTCTAACCAGAATAGAAAGAGGAGTGGGAGGCCCCGGTGCACAACTGAGCAAGAGGACAAATACATTAGAGTGTCTAGTTTGAGAAACAGACGCCTCACAGGTCCTCAATTGGCAGCTTCATTAAATAGTACCCGCAAAACACCAGTCTCAACGTCAATAGTGAAGAGGCGACTCCGGGATGCTGACCTTCTAGGCAGAAATGCCATATCTCAGACTGCCCATCTTAATCTTTTCTTTTTATTGGCCAGTCTGAGATTTGTCCTCTTGCCCTTTATCTACTTCCCCATAGTCAGATTAACTATTGGATACCATTTATATGTCTCTGCGTCCAGTATGAAAGAAGTTAGAGCTAGTTTTGCGAGCCATATCAAACTAGCGTTAGCGCAATGACTGGAAGTCTATGGTATCTACTAGCATGTTAGCAGTTACCATATACTTCCAGTCATTGCGCTAATGCTAGTTAGCAACTTCCTTCAAACTGCACGCAGAGACATAAAAATGGTATCCACTGGGTAAGTACTGAAGATAAAGGGCTTCATTGCCAAAATCCCGAAGTATCCCTCTAACCCTAACATTAACCCCAAACCCTAAACCTAACCATAACTCCTAACCATAATTGTAACCCTAATTGTAACCCAAATCCTAAACCTAACCCCTAAGCCTAAAATAGCCTTTTTCCATGTGGGGACCGGCGAAATATCCCCACAAAATGTCCTTGTTTCTCACACACACACAGAGTTTTTGAACATTCACAGTCGTGGAGGAGTGGATGCTTATAGTGTGGTTGTCTGTAATCCATGTTAATGTCAACATAACGATACAACACACAGAGACAGAAGTATCTCAATATTATACAGGATGGTGATGAGGTGTAGTCACTCATACCTTGCCTTTCACTTGCAATAATGAACAGAGTAGAATAAAGGGGATCTATAGACAGTGGGACACACAATTGATGTAACAATGTGGCTTCGCTAGGACCCTGTACCCACTCCTTCATGGTTAACCCTCCCCATCTCTCTGTGTCGGGCCAGACAGCCTTAGCCACATCTCTCTGTGGTGCACTGTGCTGAGATTACACATGGCTTAAATGTCAGATTGTTACATAAGCTTCCTGGGCCCTGGCAGACAGCCTCTGCTCCACTGGCCTCAATCACAGATGCCATCCTGTGGCTTTATTTAGGCATGAGGATCAGACCATGTATTTCTCATCCCCCCAGACTGTGAGAGTATGAAAACATTCACACTGCGGCTGCTAGAGCTTGTGTGCTAGAGATAAGGAAAGCAGGTTTTTTTGTCTTAGAAACCCTTAGAAACCCACGTAATAGCTTTGCCCTTTGTGGTGTATGTTAGGAGTGCACCATTAAGCAAGTCTGACACATTTCCAGTCGACTCTGACATATCTCCTAACCCCATTTAGATTCCCGAAGAGTGTCAAATGTCATTTGTCACACCTGCACACAATGGCTAGTGATGTTTCCTCTTTTCTACGAAGGTTGATTTTTGTCCTCTCACCTATAGACATACAAACACTTATTAAAACTGTACAGTGTGGTCTGAAAAGATTCCCATGTTATTTACCAAAGGTCATTCCAGTAAATAAGAATAAGGTATGAGGTGGAAACTGTACTCTGTGTGGTCTGAAAGTAGTAAGCAACTTCTCCTTTTGATGACGGCTTATGTGGCATCGAAATGAGTCAGAGAAAGGTATTCTAGTGGCCAAATTGACTACAAAGTGTACATAGGATAATTTTGGTCATAAATTCAGTATCGTCCAAAACTCAGATTTGCCAGATAATTAGGAGATAATGTATGTCACAGAATGAAGGGTACCGTAACAGTTTTCCTTAGGTTGGTTTTATTTAGATCCTGCCCAAATACCCACAGCTGGCAACACCCAACTAATCATCAATTTGGCGCACAGCTGCACGCAACTGGATCACAATGCCGATATCCCTATGGGGCTAGTTTGGGACCATCAGTAAATTACACAATGTACATGGGACAATATTTTAAACGGTCAATAGCTCCAAATTACAACTATAAATTGTAGGAATTTGTATACAAATATTGAAAGCATTTAATAAGACAACATTGTGTAATTTATTGATAGTCCCTAACTGGCCCCACAGACAGGCTATCCAAAGTCAAACCAAATTTTGCCACGGCACAAAATAACCAAAACCAAAACAAACAGCAAAGGCATCCAACAAGTTTGTAGAGTCACAAGCTTGATGTACTCATTGTGTGCTATGAATTTGGGACCAAATACTAAACCTTTGACTACTTCAATACACATATAAGTGAATTTGTCCCAATACCTTTGGTCCCCTAAAATGGGGGGACTATGTACAAAAGTGCTGTAATTTCTAAATGGTTCACCCGATATGGATGAAAATACCTTCAAATGAAAGCTGACAGTCTGCACTTTAACCTCATAGTCATTCTATAATTTCAAATCCAAAGTGCTGGAGTACAGAGTCAAAACAAAACAAAATGTGTCACTGTCGCAATACCTTTGGAGCTCACTGTATCACCAGAGAAATCACTCAACCTACGGGTTATGGTATGTGATGTCTCTCTGGGGAAAGTACGTTGGTGAAATTATTTTTCAACTGGCTACTGGTTTTAGTCTATGGTAGAAGTTTGAAGTTATGAAGTTCATTTGAAGTTGAGTATGAAGTCTGCGTCAAGCATTAGTATTTCACGTTTTATGGTTGTCCTTATAAGTGTTTTCAGAGAGCTTTCAGGGATATTATGTGATTTTGAAAAATGTTCCATCTACCAGTGAGACAGTAAATCCATATGATCATCTTAGGTAACGAGTCAACGCCCAGTGCAGTGTGTAATGTTCCGTGAAGCAAAGACTGGGCCTGTAGATATTGCCTGACTCTGCTTTTGAAGAGGTGTCAGTTTCCTGAACCTTGTTAATAAGGCAAGTCAAACCCTGGGAAAGAAAGGTAGAAATGAAAGGATAGACAGAAAGGAATATCGAAAGGACAAGAAAGAGATGGGTGGCTGGCTGTGTTGTGTGCATTATTTGATAGGGAAGACTGTCTGTGCGTCGGAAGAGAAGACAGCGTGGGTGGATGTTTGTGGAGGGGTCTGTGTATGTGGGTGTGTGTGGCTGAGAGAGAGAGAGAGAGAGAGAGAGAGAGAGAGAGAGAGAGAGAGAGAGAGAGAGAGAGAGAGAGAGAGAGAGAGAGAGAGAGAGAGAGAGAGAGAGAGAGAGAGAGAGAGAGAGAGAGAGAGAGAGAGAGAGAGAGAGAGAGAGAGAGAGATTATTTCTCTTTTTCCCTCTCTTTGAGCTGTGGGACAGAATAGCTGATTCAGTGTGCCAGAAGGATACAATAAAAGGACTTGACTGCTTTGCTTTCGTGTGTTTCAGTAGAGGTTGGAGATATAAAGTCATGCTTCTACTTTAGCAGGATGCTGAAGGATGTAGCCCAGCCTGTTACCGCTCAAAGCTCTAAGTGTTGTCTTTGGAATTGCATTGTGGTCATGGACTACATGACCGAAACAGCTTGTGTCTGGTATGGTATGATTTCATTGCAGCAGACCGAACAATGCACTATCTTCTAGTGTACAGCAGCTGAATGTACTGTGAAGCTTACATTCCAACCACTTCTTCCTCTTCTTCCTTTCACTTCCTGAGAAACAAGGTCATGGAGCCTTTTACAGTACATTATGTGAACTTCAGTATGACAGTACAGTATGCAAACTTCTGTTCTGTGTTACTATGATCAAGGCATCTGAACACACTGTATACAACATACTGTTAGTGAACTATGATGTGTGTGTGTGTCCCCTGTAGGATGGTCTCAGCCCCCTGCTGCTGTCCGCCAGACACGCCCATGCTGAGGTGTGTAGCAGCCTCCTGGACTGGGGAGCCGACGTCAACGCATGTGATAAGAACGGCAGGTAAGGAAGGACTCATCTGTCAGATCACACATGCATTCTACTTCATAACTTCATTTAATCATTACCGGGTTGTCTTCAAGCACATTACATTATAATACCTTAATGGTGATGTTGTGGATGATGGTGATGATGATGATAGTGATAATGATGAAGAAGATGTTAATGATGAGTATTATGATGGTGATGATGATGATGATGATACTATTTCTGACTGTGATACAGGACAGCGGTGATGCTGGCCAGTGAGAGCAGCAGTGTGTCTGTAGTGGAGGTTCTGGTCCAGAGAGGAGCTGCCCTTCAGGCTGTGGACTCTTTGGGTCACGACGTTCTGCACTACGCCAAGCTGTCTGGCAGCAGTGAGATCAGGGCCGTTCTGACCGCTGAGTTGCACAAGGCCCACTCAGAGTCCGGTGAGAGAAGAACTGTCTTTAGCACTGATCGCGCCTAGTATGAGGCAATTAACCAGAGACTCTAGCAGACTCCTTCCGGCTTAATTTCCCTTCAAATCCATTTGAAGTGACTAGAAGTTATGAAATTCAAGCTTTCGGATGCATGTTAATGGTTGTAACATGAAGCATTGTTCTGTTGTTCACTTTGTAAAGTTATAGAAAGAGAGATGTTTTGACTAGAAGAACTTCAGGCTTTTCTTTACTTTCCTGCATAATCTACCCAGATACATCATTGAGGTCCTTGTGGTCAAGCTTTGAAATGCAACTTTTCAGTTGACCTGTCATGCAGAATTTATACAACACTGCCATCTTCAGGCTGTGTCTTGAATGTTGTTCTTCCCCTCTCTCCTCCCTATACACAGACACCCCGAAGTCCCCAAAGTCCCCCAAAACTCCTCAGGTAAGTTAGTTCAGCTTGTGCAATCTTTCTATCTTCTTCCAAGCTTAACAACTGCAACCAGTTTTTCCTAATCATTGAACCTACACACATTTAACTTGATATCAACATGTAATAAATTACACTTATTAGTCTAATCAGAAGGAATAGTACACATTAGACAGTCAAACCAACCTCTTTCCACTGTAGTGTCGTCATTGACAACCTTATCTAAACTTGAATGAGATGATAGCTTTGTTTCTTTTACATAATGACTCGTTTTGAAATGCACCTCAAGCAGCATGTATGAGCACGAATCTAACACGTTAGTTAACAGATCAATCTTCAGGGCCTTGCTACTCTTGGATAAAGACCTTCTCTTTGATCACAAACTCTCCAAATGTTTGATGATTCTTCTCTTTCACTAACTAACCTAACTAAAAACTGCTGGATCGTTCTTCTGTTTTTGTTCTTCTCTTTCTTCCCACTCCTTCACTCACACCTCAGCATGATCAACTGGCTAGGTTAGGTGGCGATCGAAGCACAACTCCCAAAAAACGAAAAGCACCTCCACCTCCAATTAGCCCTGTGCAGGTAAAGGCATGTCTCTGTCTGTCAGTCTGTCTTTCGTCATGTTGGTCGGTCTGCCTGTCTGTTGGTCTGCCTGTCTATTTGGTCTGCCTGTCTGTTTTTGGTCTGTCCGTCTGTTTTTGGTCTGTCCGTCTGTTTTTGGTCTGTCCGTCTGTTTTTGGTCTGTCCGTCTGTTTTTGGTCTGTCTGTCTGTTTTTGGTCTGTCTGTCTGTTTTTGGTCTGTCCGTCTCCTGTCTGTCTGTTTATCTTCCTTTTTGGTTCCCTTTTGAATGGTCCTCAGCCCTGCTTGTGCCAGGTATCTTAAACGTTATAATATGTGTTTACCTTGTCAGTATCTGTTTGAATTCCTGTGTAATTTTTTTTTTAGCCTCTTTGAATTCAGTGCTGCATTAGGGTTGTTTTTCTGTGTGTGAGTGTATTTGTATGTATAGAGAACTTTTACTGAAGTAATTATTGTGTATATGGTGCAGGAGTAAACAATAAGAAATGTCATTCATGTTTCCAAACTTTCTAGATATCTAGTCCCAACTCTCCCGCGTACATGACCCCAAATGAAACTCCAGTCTCCAGTAAAAGTTGTGGATTTAAAATATTTAATTATAAGGTACATGCATTTACACTCAAGAATATTTCTTATAAGTCATTAGGCCTCTCATTTGGTTGTTTTCCATCATGTTTTATTTTCTGTGTCACTACTGTTGTTTATGTTGGTTTTGCTTACTGCGCTCTCTCTCTCTCTCTCTCTCTCTCTCTCTCTCTCTCTCTGCATAACTTTCTCTCTCTCTCGCTCTCTCTGCATAACTTTCTCTCTCTCTCTCGCTCTCTCTGCATAACTTTCTCTCTCTCTCTCTCGCTCTCTCTGCATAACTTTCTCTCTCTCGTCTCTCTCTCTCTGCTAGTCTCTTATCTCTCTCTCTCTCCTCTCTCTCTCCTCTCCTCGCTCTCTCTCTCTGCTCTTCTTCTCTCTCTCTCTCTCTCTCTCTCTCTCTCTCTCTCTCTCTCTCTCTCTCTCTCAGGAAGAGGAGTTGCGGAGCGTGTCTCTAAAGGAGGAGTTGGAGAAGCTACAGGAGGAGAAGTGCATGCTGCTGGAGACCATTGAGAATCTGAAGCAGATTGTGGACCAGACTGTGACTATATGCCAGACTGAGACGGAGCCGGGGCCGGAGCCCAAGGCGAGTTACAGCTACAGCGCAGCCTTTAATATCAGCCTGCTTTGATCCCAGTCCACTAGCGTTCTCTGTCCCGTTTCTCTCTCTCTCTCTCTCTCTCTCTCTCTCTCTCTCTCGCTCTCTCTCTCGCTCTCTCTCTCTCTCATCCATTTATACAGCTGCTGTGCTGTGTTTTTGACGGCTGGGCTGTCAAAAACTCAGCACTGTTTTTTTCTGCAGCAGCTCAAAAACCCACACTGTAATATAGTCAGTTACAGTACAAGAGTTAACCACCTGCTGCACTACTTTACTTAACACAGTCTGAACTGTTGACTAATATTACTACATGTACATCAGAAATTACTAATGGATGTGTGATGTAAGTTTCATGAGATGTCCCAAAGACCTAACATAATATTCCCTGGTGGTCCAAACCATTGTATGTTAACTATATAATTGTGCTGATACAGGCAGAGGACTGTGGGAAGGTAGACTCAGCTCTGGTAGTGGCCCTACACGCAAAGATTACAGCTCTGTCTCTGGAGAACCAGCAGTTAGCCCAGATACTCAAGGTAAGCCAGATACTCAATACAACTTGTCATTCCAGGGACGTAGATATCCTAATATAGTGAAATATGGTGATATCCCAGTGTGGTGTTTGCTATAATTAGGCCCTCTACCTAAGAAAGATCCACTTAATAAGATCCTAAATAATCAACTAAACCTTGTCTACTTATCTTTCTCCATCTCATCACTCCTTCTATCTACATCTCTCTGTAGAAGCGTCCTTCTCCCCAGGGAGGTGAGGGTGGCCAGGAGGACTCGTCCCATCCCAACAGTATGAACTCTAACACCTCCTACCACACCAACCACAAGTCCCCCAGCGAGACCCTGCTCCAGCCCCAGGGGACAGAGGAGGAGGACATGTCTAAGGCGTCTGCCCTGGAGCTCAGCAGCTCCTCCCTGAGACAAAAGGAGGAAGAGAGTTGGGATGGGGGGAAGGAGGGAGGCGAGGAGGAGATCCGACTGCTGAGGGAGTCCCTAGGAAGAGTCCAGTCCAAACTGCAGGAGACGCGGAAGGAGAACTTCACGCTCCATGCCAGGCTCAAACCTGAGCAGGAGGAGGTGACGACGACGAGGGAGGGGGAGGTGCTGCTGGAAAGTCTAGCAGAGCTACAGGCCAAGTTGACGGAGACGCAGGAGAAACACCAGCAGGCCAGAGAGGAGGTACTGGCCCTCAGGGCACATATTGAAAGAGGAGGTGGTGGAGGAAGTGAAACGACAGGGCAGGAGCTCCAGAGACTGAGAAGCTCTCTGGAACAGGAAGTGAAAGAGCTGAGGTCCCAGCTGGCCCAGTCAGGGCAGCAGAGGGAGAGAGATGTAGGCCGGATCAGGGAGCAGGAGGCCAGGCTGAAGGCAGTAGATGACAGTGGTGATCGGGAGAAGTGCCTGCTGGTGGACCGGTACAAGGAGGCGCAGGAGGAGATCAGGATGCTGCAGGAGGCACTGAGGGGGACGGTCCCCGTAGAGGCTGCAGCTAAAGACTTTGAGGAGATGAAAGGCGAGCTGGGGAGCGTGATCGATGGGCTGCAGCGCCGCCTGTTGGAACTATCCAAGTCCTACAGCGAGGCCAATAGTGAACTGAGCTCCACCAGGAACCAGCTAGAGGAGACCCGGGCTGTCAAGTCTAAGCCTGGCAGCCCTGTAGCCTCCCCAGACAAGGAGCAGGACACGCTGAGGAGCAGAGTAGAGGAGCTGCAGGCATTGCTAGCCGACACACAGAGCAAGTACTCAGCCTCTCTGGAGGAGATCGCCCTCCTGAAGCAGGAGGCTGAGGCTGAGGCTCAGGAGTCAGTGGCGTTATCTGACCACACCCAGGTGGTGTCCTCTCTGGGCAGCGCCATCAAGGACCTGGAGGGCCAGGCAGACGCTCTGAGACAACAGCTGTCCCAGAGGACCCTGCAGGTGGACGCCCTACAGAACAGACTTACCATGGAGAAGGAACACACACCGGAAGACTCAATATCACAGCTGGAACACGAGCAGATGAGCGAGGGCCTGGAGAAGGAGATGGGGAACCTGACACAGCTCCTCCAGGGGGCCCTGAGGAAGCAGGATGAGATGGCTCTGGAGGCGGCTGCAGCGTGGCAGGAGCTGAAGGAGGGGAGGAGTGAAAGGGAGGCCCTGCAGGAGCTAGCCATCAGCAGGGAGAAGGAGAACCACACTCTGAGCACCAAGCTCAGAGAGGCCAAAGATGCAATCGCTCAGCTGAAGAAGCTGGTGGAGGAACATGTCAGCTCAGAGAGAGAGAAGAATAAGAAGGTTTGTTAGTTACAGCTTTCTGTTGGTAGAGTGTTTTATACAATGTTCATTGGTAATGATATAGCTAGCAAATTCCCTGGTTTGGCAAACGAAACACTTAAAGTACCTGTGCAGTCAAACACGTGATTTTCCTGTGTTTTATATATATTTCCACACTATGAGATTGGAATACTACTGTGAAATTGTGAAAATGATGATTAAGCCCTTTTAGTGTAACAGCTGTTTGAAAAGGCTGAAATTTCAGCCTGTTGTGGTGGGATGGAGTTTTGGCCTGCCTGGTGACATCACCAGGCGGGAAATTAGTTAATAGACCAATAAGAGAGTTCCAAACCTTTATGCCAATAATAGACAGTTTTCAGTTTTCCCCTCCCCACTCAGACCACTCTTGCTTGAGAAATTGCTCTTTGCTAATAAGCTATTTGTGTTTCTTTTTGAGCATTTTAATTGAAAACAATCCGGTACTTAACAGTAAGGTACTTAATTGCTACCCAGAAATGATTTCATATTGAGATAAAAACCGCTGCATTGTTAAAGAGGTATCCCTCTATTTTGCGATTTATTTATTTATTGTATTTTCCCCCCTTTTTCCCCCCCAATTTCGACTTTGTCTCATCGCTGCAACTCCCCAACGGGTTCTGGAGGCGAAGGTCTAGTCATGCGTCCTCCGAATCATGACCCGCCAAACCGCGCTTCTTAACACCCCCCCCCCCCCCCCCCCCCCGGCCAAACCATCCCCTAACCCGGACGAAGCTGGGCCAATTGTGCGCCGCCCTATGGGACTCCCGATCACGGCCTGTTGTGATACAGCCCAGGACTGCGATGCAGTGCCTTAGACCGCTGCACCACTCGGGAGGCCCTCTATTTTGCTTTCTTATGACATTTTGTTTAGTCTTTGGTCATGATAGAAAAGCTGTTTTGTCTAAGCACTTTTATTGATCCCTATGTTTGTGTCTCAGATTGATGACCTGTCGAGAGAGGTGGGGAAGTTAAAGGATGCCTTAAACAGCCTATCCCAGCTGTCCTACAGCGCAGGCTCAGCCAAGAGACAGCAGACCCTGCAGCAGCAGCAGCTGGACAACCTACTGCAGCAAGTCAAGCAGCTGCAGTACCAGCTAGGGGTAAGTCGCGTTCAAACTATATGGCTTATTCAACCTACAATCAGTGTACTGTATTCAACCTCACTCAGATAGCATCAGAGACAGAAGACAGGATACACCGTTTCACACGAATTCCTAAGACTAAATACTTTCCTGGAACATTTGTCAGACAGTTGGAAGCTAACAGTTGGGTGAGTTACTGTGAATGATGTGCTGAAATATCTGTACTGTCATGATTAGCCAATAACTTTAGTTTTTTAGAGCCAAGACATCTAATGTCCTGATCCAGGGCAGCCTCCTCTGGTCCAAGACATAATGAGACACAGGCGTGTTTGGGCTGGGCGGCCAAACTGGATCATACTCCCACTGGGCAGAAATTGGTTGAATCAACATTGTTTCCATGTCATTTCAACAAAAACATTATATGCCATGACATTTAATCAACATGGAAAACTGTTTGGATTTGCCAAAAGTCATCAACGTAAGGGAATTTCATCTTTTCACCTAAATCCAATTACATGGTGACATGTTTTGTTGATTTCACATTCAATTCATGTTAGTTGACAACTCAACCAAATGTACATCTAAAATAGACGTTGAACTGACGTCTGTGCCCAGCGGGCTGTATCTCCCCATCTGCACCTGTTTCTCACAGGCTGCAGCACACACAGCTTCTTAGTTATTGAGCACCCAGTTTCTTTGGAAGTACTCAGATAGCTATGACTAAGGACAATTACATGTAGATGCTGATCTAGCAAGGGGTTTTCCTGTATATGCAATCTTAGTATTTTTGGTTATTTTTCATAATTCTGAGCAATTTCACCATGGTTTTATAGCTGATGAAGGATATTTGACTAGCTAATTGGGCGGCAGGTAGCCTAGCGGTTAGGAGCGTTGGGCCAGTAACCGAAAGGTTGCTCGTTCGAATCCCCGAGCCGACTAGGTGAAAAATCTGCCGATGTGCCCTTGAGCAATGCACTTAACCCTAATTGCTCCTGTAAGTCGCTCTGGATAAGAGCGTCTGCTAAATGACTAAAATGTAAAAATAACACACTAACCTGTTTCTGCATCTCTGTACTATAGGAGTCAAAGAGGCAGCACCATGAGATAGTGTCCATCTACAGGATGCACCTCCTATACGCCGTCCAGGTATGTTCTGATGCATACTGTGTACTCTGGATAGCATTTCATAATAAACCTGCAGGTGTGGTTTTAATGTTATGACATCATGGCTTTATTCCTCACAGGGTCAGATGGATGAGGATGTTCAGAAAGCCTTGAAGCAGATTCTGATGATGTGCAAGTTGCCAACAGAAGCCAAATTAAGTGTCTGAGATGGAACAGTCTATCTGTCTACTGACAATGCTGGAGAGGAGACACAACCTATCTGATCTATCACACTACAGTGCACGTGTGCCCATCAAAGCAAAGATAATGATAAAAAAAATGACATTCTTATGTCTACAAATGATGTCAGAGGGTAGCTATGAAGACTTGTTGTCAATAGATTTGACTGGCATCCTATCTATGAACTAGCAGTATTCGTTTTGTAATGTTGTCAATGTTGAATTGTAGCACCGGTTTTCTAGTCTGGCTAACACCTAACTCGAAGTCCTCCTGACTTCACAGTCTGAAAAGGCTATTTTGATGTTGTCGGCACGACCACCCACAGCCCCCGAGCGCCGTCCCTTCCAATACAACTGTTGGATTTTCAAATCCAAACAACATGAGGTCTCAACCCCCCAGGAAAGAAAAAATGTTTGAGAGAACCAATCAAAGCTCAGCCCATTTCTGCGCAAATACTGCATTTACAACCATTGTGTCACAGCGGCTGTTTACCACGTGAGTTGTGTCAGCCAGGCTATATAATCAAAAATATTTTTTGGACCTCTGCATGCAACTTTTCCAAAATCAACCAAAGAAGAAGAACACTGCTAAATACTTTAGTGACATTTCAAATTATAAAAGTAATATTTTCAAATATATGCAATATTTTTCAAGATACATAACTTATTTAAATGAAAACAAAGAAGTTTGGTAGTTGTATTTTTTTAACAACCCTATTTGTTGGTTTTTGAATGAATTCAATATTGTGTGATAACCTAGGCCCTTTTTAGTGTCTGCAATCTGTGAATGCCAATTTTACCCAATTGTGGGTTTTGTCCTCATTTACTCCATATTCCCTTGGATACTTCTTAAATCAATATGACTTTAAGAACCGAATTGACTTTTAAAATAATGAAACCCCCCTTTCATTGCCTCAGCAATTATACTTATTGAGCAATAATCCAGTACTTGAAGGGGGATGTGGTATCAGAGCTCTGGGTAGTCTCTCTGAGGACAGAACATAGCCATGTGACTAATGCACTTTCCTCACGCTGTCCTCCCATTCAAACTCTATAGTCTGCAGAATATATAGCCTCTGCAGATTACCTGTTACACCTTTAGTTTTTGTGTCCCATGTACCTGCTCTTTCCGTGTTGAAGCCTGACAGATTTGTCTTGATTCTTGAAGGCTTTAAAAGTAATATTGCAGTGTTCTTCTTCCATCCTTTTGTAATATCATTATAGTGTAAGAGCTGTAGCAGGGAGTCATATTGTGTCTTGATTTTTGGGGGATGAAACATCCAACCATTTCAGTGTTGGTATGGCAGCATGTGAGGCTCTTGGCCTGTTGAGCAAGTTGCTCAGCCTCATTCAAACCACTTCATCCACCTACTTACTATACCTGAGCAGTGCAGCATGTATTGTGTTGTATTGTGAAATGTGAAATTCATTAGGTATAAGTAGGAGGACTATAATCTCTCAATGATAGATGCTCGTAACATACAGTAAATGGTAGTAGCATCAGTCACTGATCATTTGGACAAATCACAATTTCGCAGGTCTTTCAAATTTCGGAAGGGGAGTGGACATTTGACCCAAAGACTTGCCTGAAACTGGCTGAGAGTTTACGTATAGAGGGACGGAGACTTTTTTAGTACCTTTTCTAACACATCTCCCACAGAATTTAATCAAGCATCTGACGCGATCACGCAAGATTTTAGTTCAGTGTGTCCTAGATAAGTGACAATGTGTCTTTGGTGCTGTTTGTTGTGCTGTGTTAAGTTTAAATCAAGTGCTGTATGATCTCATTGTAGCCTGGTAAGTGTAACAACTGCACTATTTCATCCCTGCACTTCCGCTGTTGTCCTCTACAAATCATGTATTTTCAACAGCCTAGGGAATCTGAACTCTTTTCAGTACAAGCAACATTACGGTTGTACAACTGCAATGATACAAGGAACAATGCAGCAGATGCATCCAATGATAAATAGCTGAGTATATTAGTGGGTTGAACGCTCAGGATTGTCACAATTACATGGAATGTGCCATATCTTACACATAGTGTACTCCCATAGAACGATCACAGTGATTGATGTACAATTACATCAGAGCTGTGATATGCAGGATAGCTCCAGATATGGCTGACATACTGTACATATCCCAAACCCATAAAAACCACCAAAGTGCTGTACTTGATGTTCTTATCATACATTTCTGCTCTTACGGCACCTCTAAGACTGCACTGTAAAAAAAAAGTTACCTGTAAATTACTTTTAAAAAAGGTACAGTATGTTGCCGTAAATTCCAAATAAACTTTGGTTTAACAGTACATACTGTACAGTACATACTTTTTTATTACAGTAACTTACAGGTAACTAGCTGCCAGTAAGTTACTGTAAAAACAACAGGATTTTTTTTTACAGTGTGTATTTACTCATGGAGCCCAATTCGGCTCTTTTGCCCAATGGTGATCTGATTGGTCAAAATACTAATTAGTGGCACAAGATCAGTATTGGGCTGCCTGTTTAAACGCAGCCTAAATTATTTTGGATTATGCACTACATCTTCATACTACTCATTGGAATACATTTCTAAAAGATTACCTTTACAGTATCTATGAGGACTTGATCTTTCAGACTAAGTACACGGTAAAGACAGGAGTGAAGTTGTCCTTTTATCCTAGGTCACTAAGGCTGTGTTTAGACAGGCAGCCCAATTCTGATTTTTTTTCCACTAATTGGTCTTTGGACCAATCACATCAGATCATTTTCAGAGCTGATCTGATTGGTCCGTAGACCAATTAGTGAAAACAATATCAGAATTGGGCTGCCTGTGTAAACGCAGCCTATGAGTTTCTCGAATAACTCTTGTTAATAAGGGTAAAAAGAAGACTCCTCTCGCAATGACAGAGAGGTTAATAAGCGTTGCCTGAATGTTTTAAATTTAGAAAGGGATAAGGAAGGATACAGTATGTCCTTTGTGTCTCCTGTTTTTCAACTTGTTGTTGTAATTCAAACTGATTTTTATGTTTGTTTGCCAATTGTTTTTCGCCCACTTTAATAAATTGTAAAGGCCTCGCCTGTTGCCTTATCCATAAATATGGCATTTAATGGCGTGTATTGATCCAACTGGCTGTGGTGATGATTACTTTTTATTTCAACCCCGCCAGAGAGCGCAAATGCCCTTGATTGATTGATCAATAATCAATTAGGATGACAGAGGTAATCAATTAGGATGACAGAGGGGCTTCTGCCAAACAATAATGAATGGCCATGCTCTGATTTCAACACACACACACACACCACTTTTGGTGATGTAAAGCAGGTGGAAATAATTTGTTCTCTGCAAAACTAGCTTGTTATTTATAGAAGTTGTAGAGCATTAGATGGATGTTGATTTAGGGAGCTGCTCAGGTTACCCCAGGCATGGATATTTGTGTTAGATCATGGCTATTAGATAAGGATTTATCTCTACTAGCCTGACAGCAGACTGCATTTACAGCCCTGATGACTTCCTCCTTTTGTATAAAAGTCTGGACCGTCACTATGCCCCATCTCAGGTCATTATTCACATCTGTTCCTCTCAGGCCTAGATTCAATCTGTAGCGCTGAAGATCTGCGCTATTGCGAGATTTGAATTTATAGGCAATGTTCCTGCGTTCGCTGAGACTGTATTCACGGTAAACTCTGCATATGTCGGCTCAATCAGAAATTACCTTTCAATTGTGCTATATCACAGATCTTCCGTGCAACGGATTGAATATAGCCCTCTGTGTCAACACCCTTATCAGTATGTAAACCCACCCTGGAGGTTCCGATCAAACCCTTCTGACAGTGGGAAAAACTCAAAGTATTCTATCTAGTTGATATTTTTCTCTATATCGTGTTGTTCTAGGTATTTGTTTATTATAAAATAAAATCAAGCTTTATTTATACAGCACATTTCAGACATGGAATGCAACACAATGTGCTTCACAGGAAAAAACTAATAAAAACAATGAAGAAAAAAAAACTGGAATATTTACCAGACAACAAACATAAGAGGATAAAAAACAAAAGAATAACAATAAAAACTGAACGACTAAAAAACACCCTAAGGAAAAGCAAAGCTAAAATGGTGTGTTTTAAGATCTCTTTTAAATATGTCCACACTTTCAGCCCCTCTCAGGTTCTCTGGCAGGCTATTCCAGAGGCTGGGGGCATAGTAACTAAGGCTGCCTATGAATGCCTCGTGCTGCAGCATTCTGTATGTTAATTAAAAAGTGTATCTACTGGAATCTAGTTGTCTAACAGTGTGTCAGAATTGGAGCTGTCCACCACCCCCTTTTTAGAGTTCTATAGAACCCCCCTCTTCTCCCCTCCAGGAGTGGGAAGGAGCATTTGGAGGACACATGACTCACTGACTGCTGCTGTAGCCTCACTGACGACAGGCCTTTAGTCTGTGGCACAGACAGGAAGCACAAATATATTTTTTTTTGTCTTTGCTTTAACTTCTTGGAAGTCTTTCTCGATTGTTTCCTGTTATCAGTCACCCTCCAGCTAGCTGCTAGCGAGTCGTCATGTGGCATAGGAAGATATTGAGGTTGAGTTGAGAATCTGATTTATCCTGAAGACATTCTATTGATAATTGAAATGGATAATGTGCTTCAGAGAAGTGGAAATAAGGTTATTGTACCCTGCGGACATCTACTGTAACTTATGCACAGTCATGCTCCTGCTGACACATACTCATCTTACGTGCATATTATTGTGCCTGTAGACGAGCATGACTGGTATCGCCGGTTCTTTGTGATTGTAATCTACTCTGAAAGTGATTCTCTAATAGCATTCTAATTTCTCCTGAACCTCATATTAACATCACTGCTATACCTCCGTACAGGAAAGGTGTTCTGTTAAAAGACTCAGGGAAGTTAGGAGTTGGGCGGACGAGGGTAGACGGCACTCTACTTCCCCGCAGGCCTGTGCTGACCTCAGGACACTGACAGTTCCTTTTGGTATGCCCCCGACACACACGTCAACAGACTTTCCTTGCTGTGCCGTGGTCTCAGATGTGCTGCCAGCTGAATTTTGGGTAATTTATCCACTCTATTTTCCTCTTCCCAGTGGCACGACCCTTTAGAGTTTCCTCCCCTGGCCCACTATCATCCCCCTAGGGCAAGAACAGAAGAGAGCCACCACTGTAAACCTCTGCCATATAGTGACTGAACTCTCCTAGCTCCAACAGACTAGTACACCTCTCATGACTCATAACAATAGATCTTTATAACCTCTTAATAATTTTTGTTTTCCTGGTGAGCTAATGGCTGAATTGCTGCTAGGAGAGGCAATGATAAAACCTGTAGAACTTCAAGGATTTAAGACAACCACACTCCCATGTAGAGTTGCAAAATTCCAGTCACTTTTCCAAAATTCCCAGGTTTCCAAACAGGTTTTCTGGGAAATGTGGGAAAGTTATTTTGCAATCCTACTCCCATATTTCCACAATTCAGGCA